CCTCGCTGAGCCGGGTCCAGACGGCGCCGAGGGCCCAGCGCCGGGCGGCGGCGGAGCATTTCGTTCCGCTCCGCTCTGCTCCCGCGCGGCTTTGCACCGCAAACCTGCCCCGGTTACGAGACCTCAGTGCTGGCTTAGAACAGAGCGCGTGAAGTATTTGAAGAAGTTGGTTCTTTGGACAGCCGGGCCAGCAGGTGGCATGGTGGTTAAGGTGCTGGACACTCCCATATGGCCGACCACGGTTGGTTTGAGCCCCGGACCTGGTGGCGTGCTTTCTCACTTTCTCTCTCTCTCTCTCTCTCTCTCTCTCTCTCTCTCTCTCTCTCTGTGCGTATCTTTCTCCGGTCAAATTAAAATGAGTGAATGAATAAATAAAATTAAATAAATAATTCTTTAAAAAAAAAAAAGAAACTCCGTGCTACCGCTTTGTCTTCCGGTGTAAAGGCTTGGCAAGCGCTTGTACCCTCCCCTTTCCCGTTCACAGCTGAAATTCCTAAGAGCTCTGCGCAGGCACGTAAGTCAGGGCTCCTGGGTTGGTAGGGCCCAGGCAACTGCCCTCAACTGTGATCCAAAAACTCGCTTTACTTACTTTGCCTCAACATTTCTCTTAAGTCAGCAGCTGTGGAGTCACGTTGTATGAAGCCTTGGATGAACGTACGCCACACGGAACATCCCTGTCCTCTGCCAGCAGAGTATTGGATCTGGGTGAGCAGGGTGTCAAACAGGAGGACTGAGCTTCCCGCTGCAGAGCAGCGCCCCACTCCGCTCTGACCCCGCCACTGCCTTACCTGTAATCTGACAACTTCTGGCTGCATCCCTGCACTTCCTGAAGCAGACAGTAGCCTATGTGGCCCGTGCACAACTCACCCTCTTTTGGTTTAATAGTGGAACCCTTTAGTTCTTAGGTTTTTGCTAATGCTTACTCTGCCGTTGGTCTCCTGTGAGGCCGCTTTCTTGGGAAAGTGTCGCTGTACGCACCTGTGACATTGCAGCCTGTGTCAGAGAGCACTGTCTTCTACCTAAGTTTGATCTGCCCTGTGTTGTAGACCCTTGCCCAACACATCTGAATTTGTTTCATTGTAAAACCTACATCTTGTCCTTACATGCTGCCAAACAGGGCTTTGTGCCCAAATCTACCAAAGCTTCTCTTCCTGTGATATAACTGGACATTCTGCTCAACAGCTTTTACCTGAACTGTCCTGAATAAGTCTCTATTTCGCAATCAGAAAAATGATTACAAAAAAATAAAGTTTGGTCCTTTTGTTCTCTTGCCCAGATTATTACTGTCATCAGGAAAGTCATGACATGTTTTTCTATGTAAGAATGTGTCATGGGGACCAGCAGTTAGCGTAATGGCTTTGTCGCTGGATTCTCATGTAGTAGACCTTGGTTAGAGTCCTGGACCCGGTGGCTTAAACTCACACTTAGCACATGCACATGCATGCCCAAGATCCTGAGAGGAGAATGAGAAGGGATTGCAGTGTGGCCATCCCCTCTGGGGGGGTGATTTCTTGCTTTCTGTCTCTTGTCTTTCTGGCGAGCACACACACCCTATAGCAAAAACCTTTCCAAAGGAAAAAAAAAAAAGTAATAACTTTCCCAATGACCTAATACATACAGCTCTTTATTGATTTTGCAGTCCTTTAATCCTGCCTTCACTAAAAGCTGGCTCCATGGCTCCTGAGAACTAGCGATTTCAGGGGAAAAGGACAAATGGAGATTTTCTACTGATAATTCAGCCTCCAGCCCACAAACTCAAGTAGAGAGGCAAGGGGCAGGCCTTCAGAGGAAGAATCCTCCATGGCTCCTGAGAACTAGGGATTTCCCGGTTTTCTATTTTTTACTTTAAAAAAATAATAATGATTTTAATCTTTTTCTTCCTTTTCTCTCTTTTTCTTGTTGTTTTCTCTCTCTCTGTTTCCTTTCCTTCTTTTATCTCATCTCTCTGCTCCTCAATCTCCATTCACTGTGTTTCTAGATGGACCTAAGGGCACTATAGCCAAACATCCAAATACTATTAGGGTTAATAGTATTGGGACCAGCAGTTAATGTAATGGCTATGTCACTGGACTCCCATGTAGCCGACCGCGGTTTGAGTCCTAGACCCAGTGGCTGAGCTAGCGGCAGAAGACAAGGTTCCCCATGGCTACAGTGAAGTAGAATTTTAAGGGAATGAAGATTCTCTACAGCTACATCAGCCTCCAAAAAATGAGCTAGCGGCAGAAAACAAGGTTCAAAATGGCTACAGTGATGTAGAATTTTTAGGGAATGAAGATTTATACTGCTACTTCACCCTCCAAAAAAAACCATATTCCTCAATATCTACTGAATGTGCTGCACAAAGATCAAAACAGAACAGCAAAGAGATTCCAGATCACTTCTTTCTGCATGCCCCTCAATGCTCAGATTGAACTTCAAGTTTAGGAAGAAACAGATGACTGGAGATCACCACAGGACCACAAGAACTGTGGGAAAGCAAGAAAATACCTTTATTCCTGTGGGGACACGTTTA